CTCTGCTCTAGATGCACAGAGATAGTGGAGTGCCATGAGAAGAGTAGAACAGGAAGAAGGCAGAATTGAGACCTTTCAAAGTTTTGGTCCAAGTGAGTAAGCATGGGGGCATCATTTGAGCTCCCCGCCTCAGGTGCCAAAATGTTGTGGGCCGGCCCTGGTTCTACTGCGTAGCCAATGGGAAAATAGGACAGCATTTGGGAAATGTATTTGCTGGCTCACTAATCACAAAAGTAATCACTTGGTGAAGGGTTTGCAATTTGCCTTCCTTATATAAGCAAAGAACATGGGCAGGCCCAAGCAATTATTGTATAAAGATCAACTGTAAAAGGTGAATATTTTAAGTACTGGTCAGGAACAATATTATGAAACTTTTAGAAATGTATAGTTTAGCAATGGACAAAAGAAATTTGATAATGAGAAATAGCCTTTAGATATTGGGTTCTAATCTTATCAGAATATGTGCCTGGCTTAGGCAACATCAATGAAAATGTTAATCACCTCTTGCCAGGTGTCCTACTGCCAGCAGAGCAAGATAAAGGCAATCTTGACCTCACTCCACAACACAGGTTCCCAACATATAGCCTTCAATGACAGCCATTTAAACTAACTATTTTAATCCAAGTTAATTGATGGGACAGTTTTCCATAATGTGGCAATGGGACAGCCGGCAACCTGAATCATCTGTATGGTCAAATGTTGTGAAATCCTTAGTTATCCTCCTGCAAACCACATCCTAATGATATAGCAGTGCTAACTTATTATATGAGTGAAATTGTATCCCAACTGACAATATTTTTGCCACTGACTTCAATGGGATCAGTATCTTACTTAGTGTATCTAAGACAGTGTCAATATGGTGCCAGTTGCTGTAATATGTAAACAATGACAAGCATGTCATATTCCAATTCCACAATAGCTTACTAAGTAACTGGAGACAAAATTAAAGTAAAGATAAATTTAATCCTCTAAAGAACTATCCTATAATTTAGGGAGAATAGATTTGTGTTTAAGGGAGAGGACTTGGAATTAGGAATCCAGGCCTCTTCTACTCATGGCTTTGCTAAACATCTCCAGTATGACTCTTTGCAAGTTGTTTAATTTATTTGGGCCTTGGTTTCCTTATCTGTAAATGAAGAAAATACCCTAAAACACTGAATCTGTGAAGCTAATTTAATGACTATTTGAAGAGTGCCTTGAATCCCTACAAATCCATTCCGTCCAGGGTACAATGTGGTAAATAATTATTCAAAGAATGAGAGTCTTGTTCTGCAATGGATATTGCAAAAGTTCAGTGACCTGAGGACCTGTTCTTCACATGTGAATTGCAATCAATAGATTCTTATTTCTGGATTTTTATAAGAAAGGCACTGTTCTCACCAGTTCTTCCATTAAAACCCTGGAGGTGGTGTAGAAATCTTAATGAATTCTTATTCTTTTTTTCAATTCTTGCCCAACAAAACCAAAACAACTCTTTAAATGCATTTAACTGTCACTCAGAGAATACCAATACTTGAAATTTGAGGGAGATTATATAGTAGCTTGTTCATATCTCCATCTGTCCAAAGTTTTATAAGGGTGGCTGTACTGTATTTTCAAAAATATTAAGGTACCAGGTGAAGACCATATTGCCCATCAAAGACTGATTTTATAAAACCAACATATGACAATCAGCCTACTGCATGTCTAGACTAAGTTTTTTTTCCCGAAAGGAGATATGCAAATTCGTCTCTTAAAAAAAAGAGGCGGTTTTTCGAAAAAGGGTTTTTTCCAAACCCCCCAGCCACATCCAGACTACTTTCTCTTTCGAAAGACCCTCTTTCGAAAATGGAATCAGAAGATATGCAAATTCACACATAATTTGCATATCTCCTTTCGGGAAAAAACATAGTCTAGACATGCCCTAGGTCTCATCAGTTTTACTCTGGCTTAACTGCTATATTCTCTCCCTTTCAAAATATGTCTTTGGCTCCCTCCTGAAAGTATTTATATAACCAGCTTCTGTTGTTGTAGGCTATTTTTTTTTGGCTACAATTATTGTGGTTGCACTCACAAATCAGTTATCTATGTATGCAAATAGCCAGTTAGATAAATTAGTAATATATTGACTAATTGTATTTTTCTTGTTGCTTTGTGGGTTTACACACTACCTTTTTCTGCTCTCATGAACTAGATTCCTATGTATGTTATGAAATAATTTTAAAATGAAGTGAAATAATTTTTGTGGCTAGGGTAAAGTGCATAGCATATCTGCCCCTACACTCCCTAGCCAGAGTCAGGAATGCAGAAAACTGTGCAGTTTTCCCTCACTCCCTGACAAAGAGGAACAGCCAGCAATGTCCCTGTACAAATCTGACCTTGCTTTAAGTTATGATAAGAGGGAACTGCATACCAAATTTGGTGTTCCTAGCTCTTTCCATTTAGGAGTTCTTGAACAAACAGACACGTGGATGGATGGACCCACATTTACAAAATATATATTTAAATATATTCGACAGTACTAAAATCTGAGAATCCTAACTGCATAAAAGCAGTAACATATTTCAAAATGAGTCATTTTAAAATTATTGATCTTTTTTCAACAGAATAACTTACAACTTTCCAAAACATTATAGCTGACCACATTAGTAACCTATGTGATTTTGGGATGGGAATGATAGATATAAGACCATCCACAAATAAAAAAATAATATCTGTAACATGCAAACAAACAGAAAACAAATCCTAAACAGAAGTGAGAGACCCAGAGGCTCCTTGATTTCCACTAGCAAATTTGCTATTGATTTTTTGCATAAGAGGTACTCATATTCTAAGATAATGCACAGCAATATGTGTCACACAGATAAATGGACTCCTTCAGCAAAGCATTACACACATGCTTAGGTATGTGCTTTATTCCCATTAACTTTAGTCTTTACTAGTCCTACTAAATTCAACCCCAGAAGATTGACTGCTGGAGTGTTGATCCTCCAGTAAGGGATTTCAGCACATTAATTTTGCTAACTTGGGGTGTTAGTGACAACAGCTTGTCCATTTACCATGACTTGCATGTTGGGGACATATGGAAGTTGAGACTTGTGGGAAGTCTTGAGAAATGTATATTCTAAACGAGTCATTCCCTGACTAATCATTCAGTGACTTCCCATACCCTCAGGAAATGCAGTTCTCTCCTCTGCTGCATATTTCTTTCGTACTGTGCTAAGTATATTATGGCATTATTTGCTTTGCTTTGCAGAGTACAGATCTTGGTATGACTTTCCATCTGCCTGTCCTAAGTAGTTTGCAAATAAACCACTGCTGGAGAAAACAAAAAAACAGAAGAGAGAGATCAGACTGAATGTTAATTATGTGTTATCAAGCTATCTAAGACCAGGTCTACACTGGTGAAGAAAATTGAAGTAAGATGCACAATTCCAGCCATGACAATTGCGTAGCTGGAGTGGATGTACCTTACATTGATTTTCTGGGGTGCCCTCACAGTGGGAGGTCGACGGGAGAAACTTCTCCCATTAACTTCACTTACTAGTACCATGATCAACGCGCGTGCCTTCAGCGTTCAATCTAGCAGGTCTTTACTAGTCCTACTAAATTCAACCCCAGAAGATTGACTGCTGGAGTGTTGATCCTCCAGTAAGTATAGACAAGCCCTTAGGCCCAGCAGGGTGGATCGCTGATGTTAGCAGGGCTCTATTTAGATGTAGGAAGTCACATGCATGATATAACTCGCAAGACCAATGTGAACTTCCTCTTTTGAAACACTCTATGCTTTACAAAACACAGAATAAAACACTTTTCCTTTATTAAAAATGCTATCTTGCAGTAATGGAAGACACACTATAGCATTCCTACTGTAAAATTACATGTATTGTCAAAAGACGATGCAAACACAGAACAAAAAGACATTCCCTGTCCCAAATCGTTTATATTACTGTAGAATACTTTCTGCTCTCACAGCTTTTCCCTTCTTTTACAAAAGAAAAAAATATTGTCACCAGGTTTAGTTCAGGCAGTTAGCTTCCTATGGGAACCTCATGGACAAGGGGAACCAGGTGTGACCTGTGGATCATGTTCCTACCATAGGCTCCAGCTTCCCCTCTGGCCATGGGAAACTCAGCCTCCTCTCTATTCCAGATCCTGCCCCCACTTTCCCCAAATCCTTGCCCCTGCCTCACCTTTTCCCCGAGTGCGCCCCGTCCACGCTCCTCTCCCTCTCTCCCAGAGCTTTCTGAACACCACAAATCAGCTGTTTGCAGGGCTCCAGAACTGCTGGGAGGGCAGAGGAGGAGCTGGCACGCAGGGCCACTCGTGGGCGAGAGGTATGGGGGGAGGGGAGGATAGAGAAGGATCTTGGCTGCTAGTGGGTGTTCAGCACCCACTCATTTTTCCTCATGGGTCCTCCAGACTCAGAGTACCCACAGAATCAGTGACCATGCCTTGACCCTGACTGATGACATCAAAATATTCCCTCTCCTATTTCACATGAAAACTCAATCTATTCTCCCACTTACTATCTACTGGAACACACCAATGGGGAAATTGATATCTGAAAGGAAAACAGATGGCTCTTAAATCGCTGAGATTCCAACTTTTGCATTAGTATTTGGACACCTCACAATAAACAGATTGCGATAAAGGCGAAACTCAGACTGTGGGGGGAGCTAAGCAAAGGATTACTTGGAATTCACATTCCCAGCACGCAGAAAATGGGACTACTATTCTAATCTTCTGGCTGAAATAGTGGCTCTTATGAAGACTCTGGAATACTGATTCACGTAAGTACCATCTGAATAGTTCCTCTTCCATATCACCCACAACAACGTATTTGTGGCCAGTATGAAGCCCTCCTTTCCGGTGTACAGAGGTCACAGACCAGCCATTCTCTCTAACTCTACACCCCTGCAAATGGCACTCTGCGGGCTCAAGTGGTGTGGAGGACCCATGAAAGGCATTCTGCACCTACATCACAATTTGTGAAGAAATGAAGCATGCATGGTACTCACACTGTGAACTCCCAAAGCCTTCCAGATGGCAAAACTAATCAGCCCAACTCCACACCAGGCATACAGTGACCCCCATCCCAAGGCTCGTAAGGCCAGCGATGAGCCATTCTCTGGTAATGCAGCTGTGGCAGTGATACCCTAGAATCCAGATAAAAAGATCAAGTTTCAATAAAAAAAGGATTTTAAAATATCTAAGCTAAGAAAGAATATAGCTCTAGGCACTTGTCACTTTAGCAAATCTACTTCTGAACACTCAGCAGCATTTGACAGTAGCACCACAGGGCAGAGCCAAGAGTGTAAATTGAATCCCTTCCTGTCTCCCTCCCCCCAACCCCCACCAATTTCTGGGGAGGGCAGGGAAGATGTGTTTGGGGTGTAGGCTGCCCCAGGGCTGTGGCGTAGATAGAGAGGAAACCCCCCAGCCCTCTTCCTGCTACAGCAGCTCTTAAGTTGGGGCTGGAAAAGAGGTGCCTCTCTCCACTGCAGACCTGGGTGCCAGCACAGCCCTTGATAGGCTGCTGTGTGGCCATGCAGCTTAGAGGGAACTTAGGTGGGTAGCACACTTGCTGCATCCAGAACCCTAATGTCAGTTGCAATGCAGGGATGACTGACTGACCAGTCCCAGGGGCAGAAGATGTGGTAAGTGAGTAGGAATCAGGAAAAACAGAAACAAAATACAGGACTATGTAGCTCTTTAAAGACTAACAAAATGGTTTATTAGATGATGAGCTTTCGTGGGCCAGACCCACCTCCTCAGATCAAATAGTGGAAGAAAATAGTCACAACCATATATACCAAAGGATACAATTTTAAAAAATGAACACATATGAAAAGGACAAATCAAATTTTAGAACAGAAGGGTGATGCGGGGGCGGGGGGAGGTAAATGTCTGTGAGCTAATGGTATTAGAGGTGATAATTGGGGAAGCTATCTTTGTAAGGGGTAAGATAGCTAGCATCTTTGTTGAGCCCCCCGCGTAGAGTGTCGAATTTTAGCATGAATGACAGTTCAGAGGATTGCCTTCCAAGTGCAGATTTAAAAGGCTTCTGAAGCAGGATGCAGGTAATTAAGTCATTGAAACTGTGTCCTTTCTGGTTGAAATGGCAAGAAACTGTTTTTTCTTTGTGATCCTGTCTAATATCTGTTTTGTGGGCATTGATTCTTTGGCGAAGTGTCTGAGACGTTTGTCCAATGTACATAGCAGATGGACATTGTCGGCACATGATAGCATAATTTATATTTCTGGATGAGCAGGAATATGTGTTCTTGATCTTATAGCTCACTTGGTTAGGTCCAATAATGGTATCAGCAGAGTGAATATGTGGACAAAGCTGGCAACGGGGTTTGTTGCAAGGGAAGGTACCAGGGTTGGTATTAGTGTGGTATGTCCTGTGGTTGTTGGTAAGAATCATCTTGAGGTTAGGTGGTTGTCTATAGGAGACTATGGGTCTGTCTCCCAGAGCCTCTTGGGAGTTTAGTATCCTGTTCCAGTATAGGCTGTAGTTTATTGATGATGTGTTGGACGGGTTTAAGTTGGAGGCTGTAGGTGATGACAAGTGGTGTTCTATTGTTGGTTTTCTTGGGTCTGTCTTGAAGTAGATGGTTTCTAGGTATTCACCTGGCTCTTTCAATTTGCTTTTTTATTTCTCCAGGTGGGTAGTTGAGGTTTATAAATGCTTGGTAGAGATCCTGAAGTTTCTGGTCTCTGTCAATGGGATTAGAGCAGATGCGGTTGTATCGAAGGGCTTGGCTATATATGATGGATTGTATGGTGTGTGTTGGATGGGAGCTGGAAGCATGTAGGTAACTGTCTGAGTCAGTGGGTTTTCTGTAGAGGGTGGTGTCTAATTTTCAATTGTTGATTTGTACTGTGGTGTCCAGGAAATGGATCTCTCGTCTAGAATGGTCCAGGCTGAGGTTGATGGTGGGGTGTAGGTTGTATCCTAACCTCAAGATGATTCTTACCAACAACCACAGGACATACCACACTAATACCAACCCTGGTACCTTCCCTTGCAACAAACCCCGTTGCCAGCTTTGTGCACATATTCACTCTGCTGATACCATTATTGGTATCATTACATGAGGTGAAATTGTTGGTCAGACCACAGAAAAGGTTCATGATAAACCTCGGCAAGTGCCAAAGTTTACTTATCCTGAAAATGCTCCCATTCAGGTCAATTCTAGAAACGCTTTCATGTGCTTACATGTATATACCTGAGTTTTTCCTTTGAACTCAATGGGACTGATAAGCATGCAAGAGCTTGCAGGACAGAGGACAATGAACATACTGCTATATATAGCCCTTAGATTAAAGAAAACTATTCTAGGAAATATTAAATTTCAAACCTGAACAATAAAATAAACAATATCGGCACACACATTGTATAACAGTAATTTCGTTTTGTATTCAGAATTCTGAAATAACTGATTAAAATAGAAGAAATGAATCCTCAAGGTTCATTTCTGAGGATTCAGAAAATTCTGGGAGAATAAAAAATGCTCATCAAAAACAAAAAGGTAAGAAACTACTATACAAAGGTAACTTAGGGCACGTTTACACAGCAGGCTATAGCTGAAATAAGCTACACAACTTGAGCTACGTCAATTATGTAGCTCAAGTCAAAATAGCTTATTTCGGCTTTTAGTGCTGACTGCACAGCAGGAAATCCAAGAAAGAGCACTCTTCCTCCGACTTCCCTTACTCCTCGTAAAATGAGGGATACAGGAGTCAGGAGTAAGAAGTCCTCCAGCTTAACATTATTTTGACATTGTCTTAATAACTGTTTGTGGAGTAGACTTGGACTACGTTATTTCGGAATAACGTCAGTTATTCCGAAATAACACTGCTGTATAGCTGTACCCACAGTAATTAGAAATGTAAACATGCAAACATAGGTTCATATGCAAAATTATGTCGTCAATAATATTAAATTTGACAGAGAAAATTCATTTGAGAGAAAATTTAAAAAGTTTTTCGGGCATTCCAAAGAATACCAAAGACAAATATGTGGTTAAAACTATGTATCAGGATTAGCTTCGTTTCCAAACTTGCTTAAAGAATTTTAGCTCTTGGATTTTTGCTTTCAAAAAAGTAACCTAAGAAGAAAAATCCTTAGGTTTATGGTCTTGTACAATATATACAGAAAATTCTGAAAGTGCCTGATGGTTTGTTTTATTTATTTATTATTAAAATGTTTGTTGACTTTATAAATCCCCTGATGATGATGGATGACATAATGAACTAGGATTATGTCTTCACAGTTACCAGCAAAATAAACCCTTAACTGCTGAGAGAGTCACAGCCTTCAGAAATGTTACAGTTTTGTTGGTTTTCATTAGTACCTGTTCTCTCACAACTGTTTTGTACATGTTTGAGTAAACATGTACAAAACAGTGGTGAGGGATCAACAACATCCTTAGCTTTAGGGTAGGAAAACTCCTGTATCAGTTCTTTGGCTCTCCAATGCCACCCTCTAGCAAAATCAGAAAAGACAGGCTTTGACACAATTGATATTTCTAATGTAAATCAGCAGAAAAAAATCTAAACATGAACCCCTCCCCTACCCACTGGTTAAGCCTGTAGTATACATCTTTAAAAAGTGCAAAAGAATAAGTGCACAAACCCAATTTTTTCCATTTGCAGGTCACTTTTAAATAGTTTTCCTGAAGATTTTAATACTGATTCTGCTATTTGCCCTCCTGAATTGCATTTCTATCTATTTAAGCATATGTAGATTACTTACCACTCTATATTTGGACAGTGGAATAAGATAAAGAACTATATATTTAAATAACTCCAAAGACAATCATAAACATTAACCACTTTCATTCACTTTTTTAGATTTCTAGTATTTTGTTCTAGGCATGATTATTCTGCTGAAGAATATGTTCACAAAGGATACGTTCAGTAGCAATCTAGCTCTTACATAGCCTAATCTAAGTTTTGTGTTTACACTGTTTTCCATAGGCATCAGAACGTGTTTACATATGCAGCACTTGCATCACAGATTAGAGGAGCACATCTAGCTATCCCACTATGCTTTGTCCTGGGACACAAAGGAAATCATTACTGTGACATGGGTGGATATGAGTGTGTGACAGCCCCAAGAAGCAACCATCCCTAAGGAAGGGGGAAAAGGAAACCCTGAGCTGAGTCTCTGCCTCCCTTCCTGACTCGGCACAGCACATTCTGTCTGCCTGCCTCTATTCACATTGTGGGAGGCACAATAATAATTTATTTTGTGTTCTGGAGCAGTGACAGAATGGAGCTAAAGGAGAGGAGCCCATACCTGCAAACTAGGGATGTTAGACAGCGGGTAATAGAACAGTCGACTAACCACATTAATTCTTAGTGGTTAGTAGACTATTCTATAGTCCCCAGGAGCAGGACTGGCAGCCAGTGCAATCCAGTGTTTGAGGCAGCTGCACGGGATAACAAGCGGGGAGCCCCTTGCGGACTGGCTGCCAGCAGCGCAGGGAGGCAGCAGCATGGACAGAGGCGGCTTCATGGCAACCTCTCCTAACCTCCCCCCCACACTGCTGCCTCTGCTGTTCTAACACCAGCTCCAGCTCCCTGCCCCCCTTGTTGCCTCTGATACAGAGGCAGCAAGGATGAGGGGGAGAAATGCGAGCAGTAGACTAGATTAACCAATAAGCCTAGCCTTATCAGTTAATCAATTAGTCAACTACTGGTTCACATCCCTACTGCAAGCAGGACTGCTGAGTTTCAAAGAGCGGCCATTCTTGTTCCGCATTGTCAGACAGCTCTGGAGGGCAATTAGATGGGTAAAAGCAACAGAGTCTTTACTGGCACATCAGCACAAAAAGCCTCTTGTTGGGATGGTTCTATTTTTGCACTGAAATGCAGCATTTTCAGTGCAAATGTGGATTTCCAGTGAAGACACTAGTGTAGTTTTTCTGCAAAACCCTGATGTTTTGTACTAAAACTGGAAAGTGTAGACAGTCTAATTCAAGAGAAGTCATCAATAAAATGCTATTAAGCTAGGGGCAACTCAAACACTGTTGGCTCAGTTCTCACCTTAGAATTACTGGTGCATATAATTTAAAATCTGAGTGGCATGCAAGTGTAAATGCATATATATGTACACAAAGACAAATATTAGGACTAATTCCTTTATATAAACATCCTATGATCTCTTTACAGTAGCTAAGAAATGTTCATAACAATGATTCCATTACTTTTAGAAATCCTATAAAACTTTTGTCTGACATTTTTCCTAGCTAAATTTTTCTAACAACAACATTATCTGATAATTTCTCTGATTTGGAACAAGAAAATCCATGGGCAAAAAATATCCTCTTTATTGAGTCTTTAATAACGAGTGTTATTTATGAAAAAGGCTGGCAAAAATGAATGCTATTTAAATGCTTCATTGCACCACAAAAAAGTGATAATGGAAGAAACTGTAGTTCAAGAGAGTTCAATCAGAAGCTGATTCAATCAGAAGCTGACTCCTCTGGGGTATTAAGTATCCAAATAGATTGTGGTGTTCACAGAAATCTTTGTCATCAAGAGAAGTGATGAATGAATTGTTAGGAGAAATGCTGCTGAGATCATAATGCAATGGCATAGAAAAAGTTTCATTAATTAAAAAAATACTGATTGCTATGAGTTGCTATTTTAATGTAAAGGGGTATCAGAGGAAGCACTGCAGGTGGCAGACAGCCAGCCCTCAAAGGGAGCTGGTTTTTAAACTGACTCCTCTTGCGGACCGGCTCCCTCCTGCGACCTGGCAGCACAGGGTGACAGGGGGCTCCCTGGGAGTGGGTCTGTAGCACACTGCTGCTGGCCCCACCCCAGGGGACTATAGAATAGTTGACTAACCACTAAGAATTCATGCAGTTAGTTGACTATTCTATTACCCACTATTCAACATCCCTAATGAATACATTATGCACAGAAAAAATTGTGCATACTGCATCTTAATGTTCACCTACCTGAAGTTAGAGGGTGTTTGACTTTTTTGCTAGATAATCTATTAGAGGGAGACGTGGAAGCACATAGAGCAGCCACAGAGTGTTGTGCACCAGAATAAAGTAGAGTTTTGCAAAATGAAGGATGATCTCAGATATTTCCTCCGCCAAAAAAAAAGTGAGGGTTCAGAATAAAGGGTATGATAAATGTAATGGAAAGAACAATGAATAAAATGATTTCATATGGCAGATCAAAAGAATTTAGATGAGGTATCTGTCAGGTGCGATAGATACAGGTTGCACCTCTATAAACTGGAACTCTCTGGTCTGGCAACATCCATGGTCCAACAAGACCACATATGTTCCAGGATTACAGAGTCCCAGTGTGCTGCAGGGGAGAAGGGGATGTGTGACTCAGCTGGGCTTCAGGGAGAGAGGGGTGGGAGCCGGGTGCCCAGCTCAGCTAGGCTGGGGGAGGAGGGAGGCCGGGAGCCAGTGTGCAGCTCAGCTAGACTGTGGGTGAGGGGGTCGTGCTGGCTCAGCTGGATTGAGAGGGGCAAAACAAGGGGTGTTTATTACAAATGCTAATTCATTAAAACCTCTTTGTGAATAGTTGTATTCTGTTCCAAGATTAGCTGTATTTGCATAGTCTCATCATTAGGTTTGTCCTTACAGTTAAAAATGCAAAATATTTCAAAGTTTCCAGGTCTTAATGTTTATCCCACATACGTCCTACTAGGTCAATATTATGTATTTACATAATGTAAAAAGAAAATTTTAAATAAAGATTAATGATTCACACTGAATGTCATCAACTTGAATAAATGTTGGAAGCTTTATGACTAATCTAGCAGTATTTTTCATTTATCTTATTACAAGTGTGTATACAAGTGATTCACAGACTGGTACATGTGCCATGTGTTGTAATACTTGGGCAGCATGGAAAAAGTTAGACAGAATGAACACTAAGTTTGTGTGTCTATGTTTTTCTCTGTATAAACTTACTAAAACAGTTTTCTGCATATTTATTTGTTACAGTGATCATCACTAGGTTTATCTTTGACAGCATATTGATTGATACGATATTCATTTAACCTTATAGGTTGTAATCTTGCAAATATTCGTGCTTAACTTTAAACGTGTCAATGGGACTACTCATATAAGTTGATGCGTGAACACAGAATCAAGAACTTAAAGGGCAAATTTAATGTTTAACAGCTTTATGTTTCAATCATTTTGTGACAGATTACTTTAAAAGAGACAAACCTTATTGAACCAGTTGGGATTTTTCTTTTTAGCCATAGCAAGTGTTGTACCAAAACCAGCTATCATTCCTGCAGTAGCAACAGTACCTAGAAATAGTCCACCTGCCAACAAAATTAAAGGAATTAAAATAGTGAATTTATTTCCTAGAAAACAATAACGTTTAAGCATTTAAAAAAATCCGAAGTGCAAATCCATAAGGAAATGTCCAAGGGAAAGGAAAGTTGTCAAACTGTTCATTTTCTCAATCTAGTGAATTACAAGGAGGCTGTGTCTACACTGGGCCACTTATTCCGGAAAATCAGCCGCTTTTCCAGAATAAGCTGTGAGCTGTCTACACTGGCCCTTGAATTTCCGGAAAAGCAACAATGCTCTACTGTACAAAATCAGCCACTATTCCGGAAAAACTATTCTGCTCCCACTCGGGCATAAGTCCTTATTCCGGAACACTGTTCCGGAAAAGGGCCAGTGTAGACAGCCCAGTAGTCTTTTCCGGAAAAAAGCCCCGATCGCGAAAATGGCGATCGGGGCTCTTTTCCGGAAAAGCGCGTCTACATTGGCCACAGACGCTTTTCCGGAAAAAAGGGCTTTTCCGGAAAAGCAGCCTGCCAATGTAGACGCTCCTTTTCCGGAAAAACTGAAAACGGAATAGTATTCTGTTTTAAGCAGTTCCGGAAATTCATGCCAGTGTAGACACAGCCGGAATGTTTAGTAATATAGTACAGTACTTTAAAAATCAATTATTAGTTTATATCAGTGTGGCCAGACAGACTAACCCCATATCATCCATCTTATTTGCCTCTCTGAAGCACAGGGCAGAGAAGGAGCAATAATATCAGCATAGTCTATGCTGGCTCATCTGATCCTGAGAAGCTGAAACACAGATATGTGGATAGAGAGCAGTTAAGTCAATAAGCTGGCCTGGAGGCTGCGGCTGGCACCTATGTTGATTCGAACACACACAGTCCCTGGAAGGGGAATTTCCCACTGAGAAAACAATGTCCCGTACTTCCAATTTAATCATCTCAAATCTCTCTTACAAGTGTAAATTAAGTTCACAACTCCCTTGTAAGAACTGGTCTCACAGTAGACAGACCAGCATCAATTGGCATTACAGATAAGAAAGAGAAATACGTGACCCCATGGGTATATAAGATGGGCCCAGCATACACTCACTTTGAGTGTCATTCTACCCTCTACCTGCTGGTCGGGTTAGGTGTTTGACCTCCCGAGGTTCTATGGGGACGCCCACCTCGTATTTTCGTCTTTCCTAGGAATTGAGGGACCGGCCCTGGCCTGACATGCTGGAGTCGAGAGGCACAGAAGGGGGTAAAAATGGTACCTGGATGTGGTCCTCTGTCTTAAGTGTACACATAGAAAGAGTAAACTGTTACTTGGTACCATTATTTCTATTTTTCTATCTTTATCTTCTTTGTAACCATTTTTAAGACCTATATTTTGCTAATAGTTAAGAAATAGAACAATAGCCATTGCAACCATATGATTTATAAGCTTCCTCAATAAACCTGTAACTGTTTTAAGCTTTAACCTGACTCCTTCAGTTGCTGTAACAGAACCAAGCACAATTTAAAAGAACTTCAGCCAGTCTAAAGGGACAGTTATAGGAAGAGCTTGGGCGTTTGGATCTGTGTCACTCCCAGGTGACAGGATCCACTGGGGCATCTTTCAGTCTTTCCCCAAGGCTGCCCGCTGCGAAGGAATTATGAAATTCTAGCAGCTGAAATCTAAGATGTAATAAGCTCTTCCTATATAACGGGGCGTCTGTTGGCCTGCTGGCCACCCTCTGCAATGGGACCCCGGTCCTAGCAGTAAAGGCACGGACGTTAAACCTTTTCTCGGAAACATACACACACACACTGCCCTGACCGTCGGCTGACAATCAGCAAATGAAAACTCTGATTTGCTATTTCACACTCCAGGGGTGTGTTTAGACTACATGTCTCTGTCGACGAAGCCATGTAAACTAGTTTACCCGATATAGTCAATAAAACAAGGATTTAAATAATCCCCACTTCATTAAAATAAAAATGGCCGCCGCGCTTTGCCCACAATCAGCTGATCTGGCACAGCGCAGCAGTCTAGACGCTGATCGGTCGACAAGGGAAGCTTTTATTGACCACTCCCTTATGCCTGAGGTTTACAGGAGCGTTCAACAAAGGCTTCTCTTGTCAACCTGTCCGCGTCTAGACTGCTGCGCTGTGCTGGATCAGCTGATTGTTGGCACAGCGCGGCAGCCATTTTTATTTTAATAAAGCGGGGATTATTTAAATCCTCACTTCATTGACTATGTCGGGTAAACTAGTTTACATGGCTCCGTTGATGGAGCCATGTAGTCTAAACACACCCCTGCTGAGGAGAAAGCATGCACATGGCCCATAAATCCATGTGGAGACTGAACGTTTAAAGGAAGGGTGGGGAGGCAATACCTTTCATTGGACAAATTTCTACTCCTGAGACAAATACTCTTTCAAGACACTCAGAACCCTTCTTCTGGTCAGGTCTGTATGGTTCAAAAGCTTGTCTCACCAACAGAAGTTGGACCAATGGAAGATATCATCTTGTCTCTAATATTCTGGGACTGACAGCTACAACTACACATCAATAGGAAAGTCAGATAAAACCAGATTCCAGGATTTTTGCAGCAAGCTCCTTCAGCTTTACAGTGATCGCTAAGCAACATCTCCCCATAGCAGCATGGATCTCTCAAGAGCTGTTACTACAACTCTGCTTCTTGCAGCATTCATCAGTTCAACTTGCTAACTCGGAATCTGCCAGGATGTGAAGCCACATTCAGCAGCTGTTCTCCGGCTTCGACCCTGTTGTGTCCTGTTCTATCCCCATGCTGGTAGCTGAGGGGCTTTCACAAGTTTTGGTGAGAAGGGGAAGTGTAACATGCAGTTGCCTCAGAGAGACAAGTTTGCTGAGATACAATTTATAGAAGATAGTATTAGGGATGTTAAGGACTAGTTGACTATCTGATAAGCAAATACTAGGACTAGTCGATTCCGCCGCCCCCCCTCCCCTTGCTGCTTCTATCAGAGGCAGCATGGGGGGGGGAGAAGAGGGAGTACTTCAAAGCAGCAGCGCTACATCGCTGAACCCCGGCTCAACTGTGCGGTACTGCCCCTTTTAAACGCCGCTTCGGGGATCAGCTGTGCAGGGCTGCCATGGCGTGAAGCCACGTCCCTTGCTCCGTATGGTATTTCAAAGTGGCAGGGGGGGGGGGGGGGGGGGGGGCGGGGGGGGGGGGGGGGCTTGCTGCCCTGCCTCTTTAAAATGCACAACAGCCCCCATTGGGGGGCTTTGCACAATTCAAAGTTGACACACTGCGTGCAGCCCAGAGTCAAGGGGACTTTCCGTGGGCCTTGGGCTGCACACAGAGTTCTTCATTCCTCTTTTGAAATGTACAAGAGCCCCAGTGGAAGTGCCCATCAACTACTCAATTAACTGTTACTTAACATCCTTAAATTGTATTGGACCAATCTGAGTTGATGAGAGACAAGCTTTCAAGCTACACAGAGCTCTTCTTCAGGTCTGGGAAATATACTCAGTGTCACTGTCAATGATAAGATGGAACACATGGTTTAAAATAAACAGTTAACACATTTTTCAAAGGATCAATTACGGTGAAGTGACTCCTTTACAACTCCCCAGTCATTGGCTAGTTAAGAGGGTCACAGACTGTTGTTCTGAACATCAAAATGTCCATACTGGGTCAGACCAAAGGTCAATATAGCCCAGTATCCTGTCTGACAACAGTTGCCAATACCAAATGCCCCAGAGGGAGGGATCACAAGAGGTAACCCTCACATGATCCTTCTCATCTCCCCCTTCCAGAGAAATCTATAGAAGATAGTACCTCAGCAAACTTGTCTGAGGCAACTGCATGTTACACTAGGGACACCATTCCTACCCATCCTGGCTCATGTTCAGTTTCTGTTCAGCCTATATTTAGTAGGTCTACCAAAGGTATGAATTTAAGCTCCTAATCTCATCTTTTGAAGCGGTTGTGCAGGTTTCCTCTGAGAGTGAGGCCTGAGGCGTTAGATACAGAGAGATATCTTTGTGAAAAGTGTAGTAGCTTCCGAGGCATTTCCAAACCTGCTCCTACCCTCTTTTCCCCCTCTGAACAAGCTGCAACAGAATCAGGTGCTACCCGAAGGGATGGTCTCCTAATTTCCTACAGGACGAGAATGTGGGACTGCGGTGACAGCAGCGAAGGGGAAATTACCCTTCAGAAGTCGGGGTGATGGGCAAAAGTTGCCAGTGCTAAGGTCTGGCAGAGCAACAGAACGTGCTAGAGCAGCAATGGCCCCTCCTGCAGCCAAGGGTGAGGAGTAGGGCACTCACTTCAGCTGCGGGGGGGAATTACACTTTTTGTCCCTTCCTGCCACAGCCAGCGGCACCCCCGCCAGTCCCCCCGCCCGTCCTGGGGCTTAGCTTGTCTGCCCCGCGGACAAGAGGCTCTCACTGCGGTTAGGGGGACACTTAGAAGAGCAGCGACCCCTCTCCCCCGCAAGGACTTATTAGCACCTTTGATGAAGAAGAGCTTGTCCGGGGCTGCAGCAGGGGGACGCCCCGCCCGCACAACGGACGCCTCCAGCCCCGGTGTCCTCTCCGCGCAGGCAGCGACGCCCTCTAGACCCCCCGCGCCAGTCGCCGCCGGAGGATGCCC